AAAGGGGAAATATTGACGGTGAGGAGGAATAAGGACAGATCTGAGGATTCGCAGCAAAGTGTCTGTGGCTTGTTTCAGAACTTCAGGTGTCGTTTATGCATCCCAGGTGATCGCAGCAGTTGATTACCTAGGTTCAGGTCTCAGACTGGGGGCAGGTGGGGTGGGACACAGCTGCAACTTCTTTTGAGCAATAAGTCATCAACATAAATTGTCCTCTGGGGCAGTTCTGCCGGCAAGGGGAAGATTGGTATTGCTATTCCTAAGGAAACTTTCAACTCAATCCTCCTGTTAATTTATCTGCTGCCTAGCGGATTAGACTTCTGCTGTGAAACCCTTCCGCTTTGGGTACCCTACACTGAAGGCATCCTCCTAACTGAAAACCCACCGAAAACCCACCCAACTCACATGTTATTCATCACAGCTGGCCTCGGGAACTCTGCTAGCAATTAGGGTATCAAAAGGTTGAATGATGTCCTTATGGTGTGGGTACCCCAGCACAATGCTGCCTCTATTCATCAAGAACTTGAAATTCTCTGCCTCAGAAATAGGAGAAGTTTTCTTCCAAGGTATCAAAGGGATTCAAATGCAAATTTTGGAATTAAACATGTATAGTGGGATCTATCATTTGCCCAACATCTATGGGAGCACCTATTATGTGCAGACACTGTGCGAGGCATGGGGAGACAACCAAGCCTGTGAGCTCACAGTTTGATGGGAGACAGACACAAGCAGGAAATGATTCAAGAACATGCCCTGGGTGCTGTGGAAACTATCAAGGAGAGGCGGCTCTTCTAGTCGGGGTTGGGGGAGGCAGGTAAAAGCTTTCTGGAGGAGGAAGCGGAACAACTCCACCTTGTTCCTCTAACTACTTAAGGCTGAGGTTGCATTTCTCAGGAATGCAAGAAAAAAAAATAAGTTTTCATTTCCAAAGCTTGCTTTGTTTCAGTTTTACCAGCTCCCTTGGCTTCAATAAAATGGTCAAAGAGAAGGGAAGCTGCCTGCCTCCCTCAGACTGCCAAGGTGTGGAAACTGATTAAACAGCACCTAGCGAGCTCAATTAATCCTTGCTCCTTTCGTTGATTCTCAGTGGAAATCCACCCTGCAATCTCCTCGCTAAGTGAATCGTACAACCAGGAAAAGGGGTTTCATACCCGATCTAGATGCAGCCCTCCTGTTTCTCAGCTGTGAATGAGATGTTGAGACGTGCCTCGGCTGGGAAATAACTGAATAATTCAGAAAAGTCCACAGTCGCTATTTTTGGCCTAAAGGTCCTTAGACAGCAGTATTGATATTACTGGCTATTACTAATGAAACTCCAGAGGGAAGCCCTCCTTGACTGTCATTTAAATTAGCCCCAGTCACGCTACCCCTTTACTGTCCCTTTTTTTGGTAAGCAATACTTACTACTAAGAGTAAATCCTCATTTGTTTACTTTTTCTTGTCTCCTCCACTGGTTTATAAACTTCAAGAGAGGAGGACCTTCCCCGTTTTCATCCACAGCACTTTTACCAGTGGTGGGCACAGGGGCAGTGCTCAAACAATATTTGTTGAATGAACTGATGCTATTGACTGAGGATTTACTATGTGCTAAGATCTCTAAATCTACGCTTTCACTTAATCCTCATACCAACCTTAGGAGCTAGGTGCTATGATCATGCCCCATTTTACAGAGGACAAAACTGAAGCTTAGAATGGTTAAGAAATTTGTGCCAGGCCACTCATATAAAAAGCAGAGGTGGACTTCAAACCCTCACGGTGACTCCAAAGCCTGTGTTCTTCACCACTATGATAGAGCAACACTTGTGTACATTCTGGATACTGCTTTGGAGTAAGAATATCCAATATCCTACCATTTAATGAAGAATGCAGAAATCAAAGAATATTTTCTCAAATGCCATGGATGCTCATGAAAGCTTAGTAGGAAAAATGGCCAAGGAGAAACTCACAAGTGATGCTCAGCATCAAACTCACATATGGGAAGTCAAGGAAGGAGAGGGAGAAGGGAGTGGATGCGATAAGTTTCTATTTTCTGCAAGCTCCCTGTTCATAAATACTACTCTACTGAAGTGGTTTTTCTACCTCCCATAAGGAGGAAGTCATGAAGATATCATCAGATATCATCAGTCCCACTGCCTGGGACTTGTGACGTCAGTACCAAATGAGCAACGATATATAACTCCTGCTATTCTATGAAGCTGGGATGATGTTTTATAAATGCTACAGAACTTTTATTATCTGTCTTAGGCTGAGCAAAACCGTACTTGTCCAGCATTCTGAGTAATGGACAGGAATAGATGGATCAGGGCCCTTAAATTCCTGGTTGGAAGACATTAAAACTTTAAAAGCCCTATATAGCTGAGTCACATGCATGTGCCATGCTGTATAATTAGCAGGCTTAACGACAATAAATATATAATTTAAAGGGAAGACCAGCCGGACAAGAATACTAACAGCACTCTGCTTCCATGTGTAGCCATTCCCCCAGTTGGTTTTCAGCTGTGTAAACTGTAACCTTGCTGCCCTTGGGGTAATTTCAATGTAACAAAGGTTCGGATCTCTCCATTTTTTTCCCTAAGCAGTTTATGCTTCCTTCTGAAGCCAGCTTTCAGGCATAAGTAATTCATTGCTCCTCTACTAAACATTCATTTCACTTTGTCTAAAGAGACTTAATAAATCAGCCTAGTTATTGTTTCGTGTGGCCACCCCCTGGTTTTCATGTATAAAAAATGAGCATCCACATTACTAAGTGGAAGTGAATGGTTACCTTGCCTGCAAGAGAGTTCCCTGGAGACCAGGGAATGTACAGAGGGAGACACTTTGGCTCTGAGCATCCAGGGAGCTTTGTTGTCTGTCACACAGAGAGTCTTGAATCTTGACTATCATGGCTTAAGGAGGATTGTTTAGGGTGGGGATAGGGAAGAGGTCAAATCATGGGGTCAAAAACCCATCTTATAAAGGAAATCCCCAGGAATGTTGACCCTAGATACGAAACGGTTCTTTGCTGGAAGTCCTTTGGAGGAAGACACCTGTTTTCTAGCAATTTTCAGGGTATCCCGGACAGGCAGCTGCTCTTCCTAGCCTTGGTTTGCAATTAGAAAAACTGGGGAGCAGTTTCTCAATGTGCTGGGCACCCATTCTGCATGAAAGCCATGTTTCGTTTTGTTTTGCCCCTATCCTTCCACCTCCATTCTTGTTTGGTTTATAGGGTTAGGGCTTCAGTCTTTTCTCTTAGGAGCCTTTACTTCTTTGAGTTCAGTCTGGGCCTCCCCTCAGCCAAAAGTACAGAACTCTTCCCCTCAGCTGTGAGGACAGGTGGAAATCCCCCTGCCCTCCACTTCCTGGCCTGGAGGTGGTGTTCCCGGAGTTGATGCCATAAACCTGGAGGGTGAAGCACAATTAGCAGCAGTGACATCATCAACTGAGACTCTGGACTGACCTCAACTCTGACCTAAGAGGAAGAAAATTAACAGGCAAATGCTCTTCCATTCCAGGTATCTGCTTTGGCAGTGCCAGAATTTAAAAACAAAATCAAAGAATGTCAAAGTAAGTCATGCTGAGAATCTTGCAAAATGGGGCTTCACATGTCAACTGCTCTGCTTGGGAACTGGACTCATAAAAAGAAAGGCTGTCACCTCTCCTCCAGTGGCTAAAAACTTAAACTCTGGAGACTGCCTGGATTCAAATTCCAGTTTTGTCACTTGATATCTGAGTAATGGTGGGCAGATAATTTAACTGCTAGGTATGGTGGTTTACCCTATCCCTATCATTAAAGTGGGGATGATACCATACAGTAAGCACCTGCCTAAAAGGATCGCTAAGATTACTTCGGTTAATACATAAAATGCTAAGGGCAGTGACTGACACATTGTTATGTTAAATTTCAGCTATTATGATGTTAAACCACACTGGAATTTGGCTTCCTTTATCTCTTTCCAGTATCTCTGGCCTCTTCCACTGCCTGCTTGCTTCCCACTGAAAGCTGCCCCCAAAACGGCCTTCCAATCAGATTGTAAGAATGTCTAACCATAGTACCATTCTAAATAATTTATAGTGCCGACTCCTGACATTGAAGCGTTATAGGCAATTTGCTGTTGAACGCATGTCACACTCTAACATCACCAGGGAGAAAGTCAAGGGCTTCACTTCCACCCTTTGCACTAAAGCCATGCCATTCTTCAGAGAAGTGCAAACAGCCAAGGGTTCCTTTCCCCAGGCCTGACACCGTGCAGTTGCCCATCCCTCCACACCTCTTCCCCATAATGTGGTTAACTGGGTGGGTCATCATTCCTTTTGAGAAAGCCCATTAGGTTGTGCATTCAAATACAACACAGAGTTTTAACCAATGTCTCACTTGGTTACTGACGGCTTGTAAAAAAGGCCCTGGGAACCAACATGTGGTTCCCTTTCTGGGAAGGGGATTCAGGAGTCACCAGGTTCCATCAGCCCTGGGCACACATGGTTAAGAACCTACCACTACACCTCCCTCTCCCAAGAGTGGGCATCCTTCAGCCTAGCGAAGGTCTAGGCGCAGCACAAGGTCTTGGGCTTCCTGCTCGCGTCTGCCCATTTCACTTATCCAAGGTTCAGGTCTTGGAGTTCGGATCCTCTGGCTGAGAAAACCAGGGGGCAGAACCTCAGCCAATCTGCCCAGCTGCTGGAGAAAGACAGCAACTAGAGACCCAGTCAAGAAAGGCAAAGGGCAGAAGAGCAGTAAGTTGTACTTCAAGAGAGGTTCAAGAATAGCTCGGTCAAGAGGCTCGGTCTCACCCAATCAGTGAACAGCCCCCAGATAGTCACAGTGCCACGCAGAACAGGATGGAGAACATCAACCACGACTTCACTCTCCAAAAGCCAGTCAACCTCAGCACAATCTCTGGCATGAGCCATTTTATGAACTCCTCCAGCCTCAGAACAAACGCTTTCTCTCAAAGTACTGGCACACCCACCAGCCTTGTCTAGGAAATTCACTCCCTGGGTCCGCCCGGGTCCCGCGCGCTTACCATTGGCGTTTTTGCCGCAGATGAGATGCTCATAGGGCTGCAGGACGCCCCAGAGCTCGGCGTCATTGTTGATGACCATCTCCAGGGCCTCGGCGGACACCTCCCCGCCCCCGGCACCTCCGCCGTCAGGGCTCTGGCTGGCCAGCACTCTGGCCCGGATCTCCTCCACCAGGTTCTCCATGCAGGCGGTGAGCGAGATGGCCGCATACTCGTGGATGCGCACGGAGATGCGGGTGTCCACCATCCAGCGGAAGAAGCGGCCCACCGAGAAGGTGAGGCCGCAGCGCGCCGACTTGCCCCGGCGCAGCCCGTCGCCGGCGCTCATGCTGTACAGGGACAGCGCCTTGACCGCGGCCAGCGCGCAGCTCTCGGCCAGCGCCCAGCTGTGCACCAGGCGCACGGCGCTCTGCACCTCGAAGCGGGTGCACTTGGCGTGCAGCACGCTCAGGCGCTGCGCCTCGCGGGCCACGCGGATGAGCGCCCTGCGCAGCAGCCCAGCCAGGCGCCTCACCGCCTCGGCGGAGAACTGGGGCAGCCGCCGGCCGCCGGCGCCTTTGCGGAGCACCCGGGCCACGTCTCCCTCGGTCCAGGGGAACTCCTCCAGCTCGGGGAGCCGCGGGCAGCGCGAGAAGAGGTCGGCCACTTCGGGGTCCTCGGGCAGCACTGTGTTCACCGTGTCCCAGCTGTTGTGGCGGCTGTTCATGGAGCCTGAGTAGCACCACCAGGCCGCCCCGCGGTGCTGCTGCGCTGAAGAGTTGAGCGCCTGCGAGTTGGACTTGGAGGACGAGAGGCTGAGCGAGCGGCACGAGTCCCCGGCCCCATACCCGGAGTCCAAGGTCAAGTCCTCCAGCGTCTTCAGAGTGGAGCTGTACGTCCCGGCCATGGGGAGCCTGCCGGGGGCGGCCTCGTCGAATGAGGGGCGCTCACAACTCCATGCCCCCTTCCCCAGGCGGGCAGAAGCAAGCTCTAGGCTCTCCGGGACGCCCTCCTTCCTCTCTGCGCCGCGAGACTCGGCAGCCGCATCGCCCGCCCAGCGGCCGCGGGAAGCCCCACGCGCCCCGCGTCCGGACGCGAAGCTGTCACCGGAACGCCCCCCGCCGCTCCTCCTCGGCACTCTCCCCGATCTACCCCTACTTCTCGCAGCAGAGCGTCCGTCCTGCACAGAGAAGGAATCCCGGGAGAACAGGGCGGCGGCGGCAGGAGGAGGCGCGGGGCACAGCGCGAGTCCGGGACCAGCAGGGTTGGGAAGCGCTCAGCAAACTTCTGTGCTGCGCCGGCCGGCGGCACAGCTGGGTACCCGTCTGCGGCCGGCATGCAAATAACTCCGGGTGGCCCACCAATCACCGGCCGCGACGAGCCTGCGTTGCACCTATGATCTCCGAGGGGGCGGTCACTATGCAGATTTCACTCCGCCGCGGGTGAAACCCCGCGGCGGCGGAGGCGGGGCTGGAGGCCCAGGGTCGGGAGAAGCGGCAGGGGTGGGGGTGGAGGAGGGGAAGAGCGAGTGAGCGGGGAGCCGGGAGCACAGCCCGGGAAAGGAGCGGTCGGAGCCTTAGGCTCCGGAGAGGAAGGTTTAAACAAAAATGTTAAGGAAAAGCCACTGTTCCTTTCCCGCCATCCAGGCTTTGGGCTTTTGCGGCTCGCTTTCAAGCCTTCTGCTGCCAAGCGTCCAGGGGGATGGGGGTGGCGGGGGCCCGGGTCGGGGAGCGGGGCCTGGGCGGGCACGCCACCTCTCTCCTCCACTTTCTGCCAAGCTCCTTCCGTTTCCTGAGATGAAACGCCAGTTGCGTTTGGAGGGAAGAAGGGCGTCCTTGCCTCTCTTCCCAAATCCGTCTGGTTTTCTTTACGCTGCTATCTGGGCTCCAACGAGGACGGAGTTGCTTCTCCACCTGGGATCTGCTAAGTGGCCGCGCTCCGGGAGGCCTCCCTCCACCCCGTTGGCAGTGTCACACGCAGTTTTCCGAGTATTGCTTGGGGAGAGGGTCCTAACTTTTGTCAGATTCTCAAAAGGACTCGTGACTTTCCCTGTTACCTCTGTATAATACTACCACTTGCTGTCAGGTGGATCCTTTTTGTCCCAGGTGGATGGGGGTGGGGCTGTGATTATAAGAGGCTGCGCTCAGACCACCTCGCTAAATGCAGGTGTTCAGCCTTCCATGGTGTGCGGGTGTGCGAGCCCCGTGCCCCTCAGGACTCAGTTTCCCTCAGGCTAGGATGAGTGGCTGACCTCCTGGAAGTGCCGACCGAACCTGTCCGGGCCGTGCGTCCGGAAGCCGTCCGCCCAAGCGCTGCTGCTTCAGCAGATCCACGCCCGGGCCGCGCACGCCCCGCTGCGGCCCCGTAGCTGTGACACGCACGTGCGCCAATGTCCACGCGCCCCGCCAGAGAAACCGCAAACTCAAGGAGGGGATTGTGCACACGCCCCCCCGCCACCGTCAGCCCCTCACTCCTGAATGGCTCCTTTGTGTTGTATTTTACACAGTTCTGACCTTGGGTCGTGAGTTGGATACGAACTAGAAATGTCTGGTTTGTCTCTTTCCTTCTTAAATTAATGACGCTTTCCCCCGTGAAACTGCTTTTTATTTGGCTGTTTAGCTGTTTTTTTTTTTTTTTTGCGCTTTCCACGGGTCTTTATTTATGCAATATCGCCGCCTGATGGTTAGAATTGGGAAGGGAGTCAAGAATGTAATGTGAAAACACGAATAGGCAGAGATCAAATCAACAGAGAGAATTCTCACATCACATCGTACAGACGTGAGATTAGAAGTCAAAGTAGGTAATGAGGTTCAACTTGTCAAAAATACGAAAACAGATTTAACGCAATTGAAAACTTATTTGGGGAATATAAATAATATTAAAGGAAATGTTGCCCTCTATTGGCTATCTAGAGGAAGTAAAAAATTTTTGTTTTCTTGGTTGTACGCACCCTTCAAAAGTAAAGAAAATTACTCAACTGAAAATTTGCAACGGGGAACTTACTGCATGGAAAGGCTATTTGGGGAATTATCTGGAGTATTTCTTTGTAAAAAAGAGTATATGGAATTTGTATTAATATATTCAAATTACTTGATGACTTAAAGTGTAAAAATAATCAAACATGCCTCCAGCCAAATCTCAGAATCCCATGAATGCACCACGAGTATATATTCAGCAAATTTCAGCTGTGTGAAATGCTACCGAACTAACAACTGAATTTCTTTAATAAGCAAGTTGCAAGGAAAGAAAGAGAGGAGGTCTATAGATTAAAAGAGACTTAAAAGACATTATCAACCAATTCCAAGGTGTGGAATTTATTTGTGTTTTGGTTCTTTTTTTAAAAAAAATTCAACAAATATTTGACATTATGAAACCACTGGAAATAGGAACACTGCCTCAATATTTGCTCTTAGAAAATCATTACTTCTTTGATGTGGTGATGATAGTGTGGTTATGTTTATTAAATGTTCTTATCTTTTAGAGACACATACTGAAATAAGTGTTTTGTAACTCTCAGGACTTGATTTCCTCTGGGCAAAAAGGGAAAAAATCCCTATGGGAAAAGCTGGTAAAGGGGCTGCAAAGTTATGAAAAACTGTAGATCTTTTGTCTTTCAAATTTTCCCCGGTCTTCTAGTCAACTTGAGGACTAGAAGTACCAAGTAAACCCAGAGTGTCTGTGTTTTATGTTTTGTGTGATGTGAGAGAAAGAAAAGGAGGAAGAGAAATAGAGATGGAACAAATCATACATCCAGCCATCTTAGAAATGAACCAACTGATGGACTCCAGTTAATCTTTTGGGAAGTTGGCAAGTGTGGTGAAATATAAAACTTTGAATCAAGGAAAGAAAGGAAAAGTCTTCTTATACATATGTGTGTGTTTAATTAAGCCAATCTGGTGGCAGTGTGTTTGACTTTAAGAATGAAAATTACATTAGGAGAAGAGAAAATATCCAAACTCAGGTCTTGCCCAAACATAATCTTTGAAGAAAAACATTTGTCATGTGGCTGGACAAGTTGAAAAGAACATGAAAAAAACATGGCAAACATTGGAGAAATTCCCAGTGGAGTAAGCAATTAAAAAGCAGATCTGGGATTGCCCATGCAAAAATCATAGAAGGGAGGTAGCTTGAAATAAACTTTGAAAACTTTACCTGGGGTGAGGTCTCCTGTTTGGTTATATAATTTCTTACGAAATCGAAAACAATCTGGAGATTAGAGGACAAAATACCCTGAAATTTATCTTGAAAGTGAGGGTTTTGTAACCCCAACTGTTTAAGTACAGACAGAACTCTCTTAGGAGAAAGGTAGATTATGGCCTTGACTTTGGAGAATGGCCCAGTTTAATTTAGTTTATGGATCACCTGTGGTGCATTTGCCATATCTATATCTATATCTGTGTCTGTATCTATGTCTATATGTATTTTTAAACTCCCATAGGTGATTTTAATCAGCCCTACTAGTCAGGAAGGAATGTCACTGAAGAGCTTTAAGCAGAGGAATGACATGTTCAGGCTTACAGAAATAGATCTGAAATGTATTGAAGAAAATGAAGCTTATAGAGCAGGGAGCATTAGCTGCTTATTTGTTTAATGTCTTTCTCTCCTACAAGAATATAAGCTCCCTGAGGGCAGGGATCTTCTTTATTTTATTCACTCTTGTATCCCCTTGGCTAGGTCAGTGTGAGAATAAAGTAGGAGCTAAGTAAATATTGGATAAGTGAATGAATGAAACTAACATGATGAATGGGACAATTTAATGAAAGGCCAGGTTTCTGCTCAAACCCTCAAGGCACCCACATGTGCTTAAGAATTTCCTTAAGGGAAAAGCATTACTGACACCTGAACTGAGATTTGCCTTCTACTTGCCTCCTGCATGTACCCCAGAATGACCATGTGCTCCCCATCTGTATGTGAGAGGGGTTCCTAATACCTTGGGGAGGTGGGCTAAGGAATCATCTGTGAATCATCTGAAATTGCAGGCAACAGTTTTTATGCAAGTACAGATTTGCATTATTCTGGGGACTGGGTCTATGCAGCACTGTCTGATAGAACTTTCTGTGATAAAGAAAATGTTCCATATCTGTGCTATCTAATACAGTAGCCACCAATCACATGTGGCTGTCGAACACTTGAAGTCATGCTAGTGTGACCAAGGAACTGAACTTTAAATTTTATTTAATTTTAATTAATTTAATTTTAAACTTGAATTGCTACAAGTGGCTAGCGCTGCCATATTGGACAGCTTAGGTCTGTAGCCTTTATGAAAATCTCAAAGAGGTCTGTGATCCAAAGAGGTAAAAAACTCCCTGACTATGGACGCTGTTGTTAGGCCTCTCCAAACAGTCGGCGGAATTCAGTGGCAGCTTTGTCAGGAAAGGAGACAGATTTCAGGGCCTTGGGCAATGAAAACCATTTGGAAAAGCCATATACAAGGTCTTAAATGGAATGTGAGCTTAGCCCCAAGTGTAAGGAGTCAGACAAACTTCCATTGCCAAGTCGTCTAAGTCCATGTTGAATTGGTGAGAAAGTATGTAGGGAAGAGAGAGATTTGTCCTCCATGGGTGGCTAAAGACAGAACAAGTCCTGGGGACATAGAGAACTAGCTCCTGTGTATACAAGGTCCAGGGTCCACTGTCTGTTCAAGCAACATTTTGAGAGAAGTTCAGGCCTCAGGGAGCAGGAGACTCATCTATCTATTGTTCTCTCTCTCGCTCTCGCTCTCTGTCTCCCTTGAATTTTAAAGGCAATCTAAGCCTGGGTTTGGCAGAAACAATAAGCTGCTTAGATGAGAGCAGATCAAGCCAAGAATGGCTTGGATCCAGAAATCAAACAGGCCTTTAGGGGCTTGGCAGTGCCCACCCCTGGCAACTGGCAAAAGCACAGATGGTAAGTAGCATTTGGAGAGCGGGTCCCTACCAGGGTGACGGGTATAAGACTGCAGTTCCCAAAACCCTGGGAGACGGGGCAAGGAAGGACTGAGCCTTTAGGAACCGGATGATGCAGAGAGTCAAGACAGGGGCCCAGTTGTTGGGACTGTGGGGTCCGAGGCAGGAGTTTGGGCACCAGGTTATCTGAGCCAGGTCAGGAGTCACAGGTCATGTAATCCAATCTTGAATCTCTGAGGTACTCCTCGCCCATCTGGGAATCCTTCACTATGCCCTGACATATGCCAGGCTTGTCTCAAAATCGGGGATGAGGTGGGGCTTGGATAGCTCCAGCTGCAAACGTTAGAGAGTCACTGAGCAGGGAACCCACAAGACGATTACGAAAGATCTGCTTGCCACATCGGGGTATTATACAACTGCTTGT